CCCGCCCCACCCCGCCTGCGCAATAAAACGAAAAGAATGAAATCGACCGATAATGCCCCTCCCGAAGTGGTCAGCGACACGCGGACGCACCTGTGTCTGTGTGCGCGCGCACGAGCGAGTGTGTGTGTGTGTGAGCGTGCTTGCACGCCCCGACAACAGCTGGCAAACACACTAAAAAGTTATACACTTCTGTGTTTGACGTGCCGAGTGCTGTGGTGGTGAGCGCAGAGTGCAATGTCCTTTCCCAAGAAAAGTGCGGACCCAGGAGAAGGTGCGTTCACATACTACGAGGATGTACATTATACCGAAAGAATTAAGAAATTGCACTGAATCAATCACTCCTATTTGAAGTTGACAAAAACTCAAGAACATTACCAAAAACTTTTTGTGCTGTTTTTCTGCTTTCATAATCTTTTACCTAACTATTCACAGTTTCCCTAGAGTTTTAAAAAGTATTCACGCACTACACCAAGAGATCTATATTATTACTCTAAAATTGTCCATCACATGCAGCATGCAGCAGCAGCCGCACATGCACACGGCCGCAGCTTTAGAAAGTTAGAGGAGCGCGGCGACGAAGAGAGGGTGAATGGAGCGGGTTTGACACACTGTCATGTCTGCCCCGGAGCCATCCGCCATGAGCCATGAGCCTCCGAGAGCAGCCGGCCGGGCAGCCAGCCAGCGAGCCCGGGCAGCCAGCCAGCTCGCTTTAAAGTGATATTATTACTGCTGGACGCGCAGGACGGAGGCCGCGGCGGCGGCGCTCTCGCTGCCTTGCCGGCCGGACAGCGGATGCCGGACAAGGACGCAGGCGCCGCCCCCCGAATCTGTCCGCGGCTGGCGCGGCTAATGGCCCTGGGAACGTCGCGTCGCACCGAGCGAGACGGCGGCCAGAGAAATGGACAGAGACGGAGATATAGGGGAGAGACGGGGAGCGACCGCGAGGACGACTTTTATTTTTTTCCTACTCTAGTTTCCCAAATTAGTTTGACGAGCTTTTTCCCTCAGGACCTAACGCACGAATGGCGTCCGCGGACTCGGGGCGGCGGCGGGGCCCTTCTCGTGCACGCGGTAATTTTTTCCAAAAATGTCTTCGAGTGACACATTCTAATAATTTTAGACCGGCACGAGAAAAACTTTTTCTTTAAAAAACAAGCAGATATAGCTGACACAGAATAAAAAGGTGCGACAAACACAGCGGGGTGACCTGCCACCACCACCACCACCACCCTATCGCTTCGTTGTGCAAGTGCCGGATCCTGGTGCGCATCCTTTTTTCGAGAGGGGCGCGCGCGCTGCCGACGCTGCTGACGCGGCCGCGGCGGAGAAACCGATAGAGTTCCGCGAGACGGAAATTACGCAGCGCTTGCCTCACAGGCTAACGAGGTGGCGGGCGCGCCAGGAGGGAGGGCTGGCGGGGGGCGGCAGGGCAGGACTCGGGGTGCGGCGCGGGGCGGGAGATCCGTATTGGTATTCACCCGGCGACGCAACGCGGGGCGGACACGGACACGCTGTTGTGTGCCGTGCGTCACCCGGCGCCACCCCCGCCCTCTACCGCGGGCGGCGTGCCCGTGCACACGCGTCAGCAGCGGGTCACTCCCCCACTTACATCACTGCGACGTGTCACCCGCCGGAGTCCATTCATTCATGCAGTCACCTACATCCTCAATCGTCGGCGATGCCCACCCAAGCATGAATCCATCCGCATTCATTCATTCAATTATTCATTCATTCGGGTATTGATGCATTCATTCATGCATTCATTTATTCATTAACTAACCCGTTTATTCTTTCCTTATTCCAAGGAGGGCATTCACGAATCCATCCAGTAATTCATTCATACTCCCATCTGTCCATTCTTTTATGCATCCTTCCATTCGTTCATTCATTGGTGCGTTCATCCATTCATTCTGTTTTACCCATTCATGGTTTTTTTATCATTTCATTCATGTAATTATCCATCCATTCATTCACGTATAGGGAAACACGACACATTTTTATCCAAGTTTAGTTATGCATCATTAGTGATAAAAGTGTCGTTAAGTGTGTCGGCGGTTCGGTCGGCGGGGTCCTCCTCCCCCATTCGGTCGAGCGACCCCGATGCGTATCGCCCTCTCCTTAATGCCCGCACTGATCAGCGCCGCCCAGACAGCTCTCCATCCCGTTTCCAATTTTCCCGCGTGGCTCGCTAGCTAACGAAGCGGCCGCAGGCGCCGCTCGTTCTGCAACACATTTATGGGTCCTTCTTCGAGCAAACAAGTAGCATAAACTGTAATCCCTGTTTCATAAAATACAAATAAAAAATTAAAATCATTTTAAGACAATCTTTAACGTGTAGATCTATTTAATTCAACTGTGTCGTGAAGGCAGAAATGGAGCTAATTTTTGCCGTTGGCGCCGTTATTTTGCAGTCTCCAATAGCATGATCATCTTCACCTCCGACTGGACAGTGAGGAAATATTTTTAGATGATTTTCATGTGTTTGCCTGCTAAAGAAATCAAGTTGATTTGTACGAAATGTATTTTAGAAATGAATAAGGGTGGAAGGCTCAGGATGACACAGTGGTTTCCGGTAATTTCGCCTAGCAAAACATTGATGCCTGGACAACATTTTTGATCAAATGTATGAGGCATTCGCCAGAAAACAATCACGCGGTCTTTTTCGTGTAATTAAAAAGAGACTACGGCAGTGGTGCGTGTGGGGGAGGAGGGGCGGGTGTTGCCCACCCGCTCGCCACGCCTCGCCAAGCTCAACCAAAGTGGCTCACAAACCTCACAAACACTGAAGCCAGGCCGCAGGAGCAGGAGGAGAAGGACCGGTTGGGCGTCGAAACATCGTGTGATGTGAACCAGATCAAGGTTTACACACACACACACACACACACGCTGGCTGCCCACCACTTTCTTCTCTTCAAGGAGGATGGGAAGGGGGTTCCGATGAGGACGAGAGGGGGCGAGAGGGAGGGGAGGGGGGAATTTCCCGCCCACGTGTTAGAAGGGCAGGGCCAAAGACAATCGCACGTCCACATTGTTTGAATCGCTCTCTTCTCCTCGCTGTCCGTCCCGCTTGCACCCGCAGCGACCGCGGCCGCCGTACGCAGGATCCGGTGGGTCCGGGCGGGCAGCGTGAGAACCAGACGAGTGTGGCGGCCGCGCCGGGCCGCACAGCCACCCGAGAAATAATTGGCACTGAAACCGAAATTTAGCGAGGGCTCCGAACAAAAGCTAGAGAGGAGAGCGGCGCAGTGCGCGGCTACGCTTCCGTGGTATACTTAACTTACGCAGCTCCGGGTGTATGGGGCAGCTGCTATAGGTGCAGGCGCATCAAACCAAGTCGTGGAATTACAAGGTCAAAGCAGCGCCTGCTCTTTAGAAATTTTAAATGTCACCGCTTTCAATCAGGTGGATTAAGTCTCGTCTTTATTCTTATTTTTGTTGATTAATTTTAGAATGACAAATGCTCTCAAATTTAATGCTTGGCCAACTGTAAGGGGTAACCGGAAAACCCTTGGAGTGTTTGAATGCTAGTTGCACTCCGAATGACAATCAGACAGATTTTGCCCATTGAAAGATGCGTCTGTTTCCACACCCTGCAAGATGCAATTCTGAAGCCTAAGTCGTGACAAATTTGTATCTACTGCCTGGACAAATTTTACTGAACCAAACAGAAAACACTAAGGAATTTGAAACAGAGATACGGGATTATGCACCTTACGCACCAACTATGGGGGCGGCGGAGCGGCCCAAGAGAAGGTAGAGGAGGAAAAGGATTGGGGAGAGAAGGGGGAAGGGGCGAAGATAGTGACCCCCACGGTGAAAGGGGGCATGGTACGGCCGCAGGTAGGGTCGAGCCGGCAGCAAGAGTGGGGGAGGAGAGACAGAAAAGGAGGGGAGGGGGGGGGGACTGCTTCCACCTGTTGCTGCGGTTTCTCCATGTGGGATGCCTCCTCGCCCCCTCCTCCTCCTCACCTGTCCCCCACCCCACCACCTTACCCACTCACTCGCTCACTATCCTCTGCCTCTTCTCCTCCTCTGTTCTCTGCGCCGTCTCCATTCTAATCATATTCCGACCCGCTATATCGCCCGCTCTTTTGCCTCTGTTCCTCCCTTCCCTTTTGTGTCGCTGTCCGCTCCTGGCGCTCGCGGGCCGCGAGCCCACCAGCACCACTCCCCTCCCCCCGTCGCCACGCCCGCCGCCGGCCGTCCCTTCACCCCTGCGCTGCGCTCTCACTTTCTGACTTGTGCTTTGTACACATATTCACTCGGGATGCAGCAAGCGCAAGGAGGGAGAGAGAGAGAGAGAGAGAGAGAGAGAGAGAGGTGGGGGGGGTGGGGAGGATATCGGGCCTCCGGCGCAGCCTGCGGCCGATCGTGCGAGTCGGACTCCTGCGCGGCCTGATGCTGGCCACTTATTAATTACCTCCCCGCGAAATGTCTCTCCCCCTCTCATTGCGAGTGAGTGTGCTTCTTTCCCCGCCCTCCCCCATCTCTCTCTCTCTCTCTCTCTCTCTCTCTCTCTCTCTCTCTCTCTCCCTC